TCGATTATATCATTAAGGACCTTATGGCATTTGATGATATATTTTCTTTATCTGACCTCCTTAAAGATATTATATATATATTTCAGGCCAGGGTATCTATGCGGTCACACACATTGGACTTGAGCATTTTTACATGTTATTCTCTTCTTCGTATTTTGAAAAATTCAGGCAAATGGTCGCCATATGGTCGAGAGCTCATGCTGCTCCTGTTTTCATTGTTGTAATTTTTGTTGTTGAAGCGCTCCTGACACGCCAACATGACCGCAAATGAGATAGTGTCTACCTAACGCCCACTTTCCCCTGATCCGTAACTGTAGGTGTGTATCATCAGTTCTGTTCTTTATTTTTTGTTGACGCCCACACGCACTTCTTTGCACATCCTGTGGACAATGGCGCAGCAGGGGTATATTAAAGCGAGCATATGCAAGCGGCAGGCAGACATGTGGTATATATGTATATTGGTATATTATTAATATATAGCAAAAGTTTAGCTGCATCACTGAGAGATAACAAATAAACAATAAAGGTATTCAGGTTTCAAAATACACATATGTGCTTTAAGAAGCTCCCGAACTGGAAACAGGATACCTTCAAGTCGGGTAAGTGATTCTTTGTTGTTGTCGTTGCCCTTGTCAATGACTTTTCATAAGATTCATTCTCTTGACACTTCATATTACACACACCTTGTGTCTTTATGTTCGCCAGGTTGTCTCAGTTTGCCTGGCCTGACAGGCTCGCCGACCATGGTGCAGGCGCTGCCGCCTGAAATGCGCTGAAAAATACAAATTAAACGAATTTACGGCTCATCAATAAGTTGCCGAGCCACCCTCCAGACAGTCCACTCTCTTGCTTTCGGCTAGGCGTCAACTCTACGTGGACCATTAGGCAGCGGTTAACGAGACAAACAACAAGGAAACTAACGAGCAGCCACATTTCTCACAGTACTCAACGCTAGAGAGAAAGAGATTGTTATCTCAAAGCCGTCAGTTCAGTTCTCAAACGAGGGCCGCCCGCTCGCCGCAATTGAATTCCCCTGCGGTCAGAGGGAAAGTCGAATAGAGCCAACGGACTCTCTCCGTGCCCCTGCCGACGCCACGCAGTTAAGTATGTTCGTAATTTAGATTTATTTGCCCCTGCCGCCGAGACCCCCCCACCCTTAAGCTATCAGCTGGCAGCTGCAAAGTCTAATATCTATTGGAAGTTGGCGTTGATTATGTTTGATTTATATGACAACCGAGTCACAACCAGAGGGCTGCCCATGGGGGTTGCCATCCCTCACCCCGAACGGGAGATGTGTTAATCCATACACAGTTTTCGCTTTCATCTCGGGCCTTGAGATAGGTATAGCTTGCTCCGTTTGGTTTTAATTGCGCGCCAAAAACTGTAAGTGACACCCTCATAAATTGCCGCTGCCTGGCATCAAGAAGTCAGAGGTGCCCGGGCGAGTGGGTGGAGGATGGAGTGCGGAGTGTGGACTGTGTCGTGTCACAGTGTGTCCATCTGTCAATCACATTGAGTTCAGTGCGTAAAAAAGGAAACGACCATTTAACGACGGCCATCAAAACTAGATACAAGAGAATCACGGCTCGGCCCGGTTATGGGCCACGCCCTTTAAAATGGAAGGGAGACTTCATTAGATGACAAGCGATGGCTTTTAATGAGACCCAAGTGAAGCCACGGCATGTGGCGGGGGGAGGTGGTGGGAGGTCGTGCCACACGACAGTCAAAGCGTCAAGCTGGGCCAAAAGGAAGTTGTTGAAATCTTGTGATGCATTAAAATTTGCAAGTTTTGACTTTGCTTTGTCCTGCTGCCGACTGCTGACTGCTACTGCTGACTGTCGGCTGCTGCTGCTGACATTTGTGTGTCACTGGCACGTTTTGCATGCTTTTAGGCGCTCACACACACACACACACGCAGCACACACAATTTATGCAAATGTCGCTTTTCTGCGTAGCTGCTTCGCTTTTTTAATGAGCACACTGAGACTGAGAGAGACAGAGGGGGCACGCACAGCCGCAGCCCGCAGCCCGCAGAGCGCACAGAGCAAAGTAAATGAGTGCTTACTGTGTGTGTGTGTGTGTGTGCGTGTGTGTATCTTTCGTATTTGTGTTTCTGTCTTGAGGAGCGTCTGCGAAGCAATTAAAATGAAATAAGCCAAGTTCTTCGCCTGGAAAACATGCTGCAGATAAAACGCAATTGGAGAACACAACAATCGCCGCGCCCACAATTGGCCAGACAACAAATGCGATTTGCGATGATTTGCCCATTAATCGGTAACCTTTCTATTTGCTTAGCTTGTTATTCTTGATCCTATTACGCTCTTTGCTCGTTGTTGCCACTTAATGTTGCACCTCAAGTGCAAACATGGCAGCTCCACGAGCAGTTGCATAGATGCAAGCAACAGCCTGTTAGCCATTTGTACTGTTGGCCGCATTTATGCCGTTAGACACATGTTGCCAAAGGCACTAACGAAATGTTGCGCATGGCGCATTCGAATAGGCTTAGGCACATTTTAGTACAAACATGTTGCCAGCTCTTTAACGCAGCAACACTTAACGAACGCAGCATGTGTCCAGCAGCATGTTGCCATGTAGGTTGCCACAAGCTGGCAATTTCTATTTCTGACCGCAGAAATTAAGACCTTTGACACTTGGAGTCGCTTTGTAACGTTACTGTCAAAGCTGACAGCCAGTTGCAAATTCTGTCCAGCTTGAATTAGGCTTGTCTTATGTTTAAGTTACTTGACGTGCCTGTCAACAACTTCGGTTGGTATAGTTTTAAATGTCTCGCTGCCACCTAAGATTCCCTTGCACATACGGCAGCACTGAACAGCGTTTATGAGGCATAAACAACTTGTAATTGTGTTAACTATAAGAGTTAGGATCTTATAATATGTAGAAAAGTTCATGTCTTCAACTTGGCTTTAATAGACAGTGCTTACCAGTGAATTAAATGTGTTAAAAACATTTCATAATTAATATGTTGATAGCCATCGTTGTTTTTATAGCAAAAACTCCATTAATGGACAGCTAGCTTGGGTAGACATATTTTTTAATCTCCCACTGTTTTTCTTGCTTTTACCAACGCGACCAATATTTTTGCAAAGAGTAAGGTGTTTCATACCCGTATTTGCATGAGAATATTTATTTCCTTCTTTGATAAGTATTAATAGCTAATCATAATAAGATTATTTGCCTTGTCAGAAGATCTCACACTGTAATCAATGTGTGATTTTGAAAGTGAGTACAAATGCAACTTGGTTAAGGTATTATTTTCATGTGCTTCCTTCCTGGCAACAAATCACATTCGCCACCTTTTTGTCTGCTCTCATCTTACACTAATTACGACATAACATATATATGGGGTTGCACAATGGCTTCATAACTATAATTATATAAAATAGCCAACATAAGAAAGTATAACTTTTCCAGGAACGAAAGCTAATGCCCAGCATTGTCTTTGTCCTCTCATAATTAACCGAGTAAGGACTTTGGTGAACTCGAGGAAATTGAAATTAAGTAGTTACCGAGGGGTCATTGACATTTATGGCATAACAAGTGGCTAAAAGCAGAGTTGCAGTTTGGCTATTATATTTCTTGCTGGCCATCGAGGCACACACATTCTTGACGTCTCTGTGTGTGTGTGTGTGGGTGTGTGTGTGTGTATCTCATTAATGCCGTTGACCAGCAGATAACTCAATTTGTGTTTACTTATGGCTTCTCGCTGGCATTGGGTTGAGTGACCTACAGAAGAGGGTTATGGCCACTTTCTGTCAAATTAGTGCCTAGTTTTGGGCGCATAATTGGCCTGGCCAGAACTTTTTTCACGCAGCCATAAAAGATTTATGGAAATTATGCATGTTTTTCTTTATGCTGTGCGGCAGAGGCGAGCGCAGATTTATGAGTGCTTGCAATAAATCACACACACCAGCACGCGCACACTCACGTTGTACCCGGGCCTGTGTGTGTTTATTTGAGCTGTCTATTAATTGGTTGCCTAAAACAAAAGTAAGGGCTGTTGCCAAAGGTCAAGTCTATGCGTATATGTTGCTGCAACATGTTGCCCTGCCACGATTGCCAAGCCAACGAGGCACACGACCACGAGAGATGTGCGAGAGCATCTGCGTTGCGTTCGTTTTGAAGTGTCGGTGAGGGCGGGAGGCCGACCGACTAACGAAACGACAGCTAAAACGTAACGCAACGAAAACTGTGCCTCGCATTCGTCAAATGGTCTTGTTGTTGTCACACGCAACAGTTTTGTTCGATGCTGTTAACAGCTGCAGAGCCTAACATAAATATTTGGAGCAAGCAGCATCCGATTATTAATTTTCTGCCCCTCTAATCTTATTAAGGAATATGTATAGTATATTGTTATATTAAAGAGTTAATTAGAATATGGGAATGTTAAAAATGTTGCTGCAAATATTCAGGCGCTATTTATTTGTTCGCATTATACATTGTGTATGTGGAGGCCAATCAGCTGATGCTCGCCTTTTACAATAATAACTAATATACTATTAGCCCAGCCATTGTTAACTACAAATTTGCAAGTCAAGAATTTCTTTCTCTTCAAATTCTGCACCTTAATGTATTATAAAGTCTCTATAAACAAGTAAAATGTTCAAGTACACAAAAATCCATCCCATGGAATATGACTTTTATAGCATTTTTATTGGAAAATGAAATTATTAATTTTAGACAAACAAAATTTAAGCTTAAAATTAAATAAAGTAATTTTGTGAACGGGAAAAAGTCTAACAATATTTAATTGCTTTAGCTTTTCATTTAATTTAGTTGCTTAATTTTTCAATATTAATCAACTAATTTCATATTAGGAATTTACAAATAAATGTTTGACCTCATCACAGATGATGTTGGCTTGCAACTTGGTGTGGTTGGACATCGAACATATTGGTTGGTCTTGGCACTCGATCTGGTTGGCTGCGCCTCTCGACCGGGTCGCGTCAGTCTCTCATTCGACACTCGTACGCGCAGTCGTTCGCACACGTGTGCGCTTCATCTTGTCGGTTTCGCAGTCGCGTTTGATAAACAAAGTTTATGTGCTTAGCGCACAATCGGTCGGCTATATATAATCAAAAATATATTAATTAGAGCATATACATATAAAAATAATATATAAAAGTGTTTATTGTATGGTGTTTTGATTTGGTGAGTGAACATCGAACAACAACAACAGCAGCTGTATCAAAAATCAGGAAAAATTAAACTTAACTTACACCCGGCCAGTTGTTCGCAATTTATTCGGTAATTAGGCAAAAGGCCAAGGAAAAGGCTAAAGAAAAGTGCGTGACCCATTCTAAAAATTGTTGTCGTTGTCGTGGATGCTGCGCGGCGGGCGGAGGCAGGTGCGTGCGCCCCAACAACCGCGCCCCAAGCCGGTTACAGTGCGTGCGAATAGTCGGCGTTGCCTGGGCATCAGCCGCGGAGAGGGACTAGGACAGAGCATCTTTGCCAACGTTGTCGTAATTTCGCGTTAAAATAAACACGCAAAAGCAAAGCGAAGAAAAAAACCTTAAAAAAATATCTCAAAGAGCAACGCGCTCTACAACAATAACAAAAACAACAACAACAACAACAACAACAGTGTAAAAGTAAAATCAAATAAGAATTGAAATTTAGGCCAAAAGCGGATTACGAGAATTGTTGCTGCTAACAACAACCACAGCAACAACAACAACAACAACAACAACATAGCCCGCAAGCATAAAAGGAAGATTTTGCCCTTGCAAAGGCAACAGCTTTGTGCGAGTGCGAGTGCGTGTATGTGTGCGTGTGTGTGGAAAATAAAAGTGAATTGCAAAAAAATCAGAGAAAGAAAAACCAACACATGAAAAGAAATACTCAAATACAATAGAAGTAAGTAAATAAATGACAACAACAGCAACTCAAGCGTGCAGATCCTTAGACGATTGAGAGACTCACAATTCACAAACGATTCGCATGGAAATATCGTTGTGTCATTTTCGCGCTCATTAGTTAACTCAGCGCGCCACGCCCCAACGCCCTTGATAGCCTGCTGCGTGCTGCGTGCTGGCTATCAATTAATTGGTAATTCGCACCGAAAGGCGTCTATAAAGAAAAACCTGAGCAGAAATCAAAATTGAAGAACAAAAAATTAATGAAACTCTGACGCGCAGCAATTCATATTTGTATTGGTTAGATTGTGTATACGTGTGTGTGTGTGTGTTCATGAAGTGAACGCCCCAGGCAATACCCCGCACGCAATTGCACCCGCACACGCGAATCGGTCGCGTGCTGTCATAATTTATCACAATTTATTGTCAACGTCAGACCGAGGAGAGAGTCCAGACTGAAAGTGCATCCACAAGATACAAATTACTTCTGAAGCCCTTGCCATATGCGGCTGAGTGCATTAGAACAACAACCAATTAACTGCAACAGAAACCAAATTCGCAACTTTATTAAGTTCTTTTTTCTCTGTCTCTCTCTCTCTCTGTTGATAAAAAGCAAAACACAAACATCAAATAAAGCGCTGCCAACGAGATTTGCCCCGCACTTGGATTAGCAGAGCGAAAGGAGGGGAGCCGCAGCGCAGGCGAAAACTTTGGGTGAGTTTCTCCCTCAGATTTTAGTAGCTCTATGCCAAAACTTATGAATTGAGCTCAACGATAAGTTCTCTGGCATCACTTTATGTCTCTACATAACTCCTGAGATTGTGCTTTAAGGTTAAGAACTATTTGCAAGTTCTTTCATATAAGAATATACCTTCTGCTGCTTGCTACAATTTATTAAAATTACCTTTTGTTAATTCCGCGTATTAAAACTTCAGAAAACTTCACCGTTCAAGTAAATATTTATATATATACCTTAATATATCTCTATTAATGCGTTTAAAGAATAATTCCAAGTCTTGTTAATATTAAACACTATTACGTTCAATAGTTTACAATTACCGAGTTACTTTTCAAGATGTTGTCTTAGAGAAATAAGTATTTTTGTGTTAACATAGTAAATATCTATTTTCATAAATTTTTCACTATGATTCAGCTTGAACCGAACCATAGCAGTGGGTCAAACAGTATCCGAACCTAAATCCGAAAACGATTTTTTATTGTAGGGCGTCGAAGTGTTGTAATTGCAAGGATCGGACCACTTAATCATATAGATGTCAAGAAAACTATTGGTCGAATGATAGGTTAATATGTTTTCCATGTATCTTGGCCAAAAATGCAGCTTACATATTAGCCAAAACTTATCTACTATATCTTATACATAGCTCTCAAGAAAGAATCGGTCGATGCATACACTATTTTCTCTTCATGAAACTCTTCAACTACGAGCTTCAATATTCTTTAAATACATATGCAAATCCGTATTAAATCGACCAACCTATCATTGGGCTTCTGGTATTGGGATTGTTCCTATTCAATAAAAAAAGGGTAATTATTTTTCGGCCATTCCTTAGCTAAATACAAAAATATTAAGCAAGGATATTCAATCTTTACCGCCCGTTCCATTCTAGTTTTTTCTTCTTATATAATTTTATATTATTTTTTTAAAGATAAGACTCTGCTGACATGTTTCAGCCAGTAGAGTCTGAGATCCAACGCCCAGGCAATTGCCTTAAGTCAACTTTTTGTTACCTGGACAACAATAGCTTAGTCCAAGTCGCAGTCCAGAATCCACCAGCCGCCAGCCACAAGACAGACACCAAAGTCAAATTTTGAGCTAAGTTCAGCAAAGCGCCTCTCGACGTCTTATGCCACGCGAGCAGGGCAAAGAAACCAGCTGAATATGGAATACATACACACACGTACGCATATAGCAGCCATAAGCGCACACATATGCCACACTTAAACATATAAAAGAGCAAATCAGAAAATCCAGTGCACCCCCATGCGATAAACTCATATGAATGCGAATGCTAGTGCCGCAGGATATTTGCAAAGCCAGCGCCAGCCCCAAGTCGTTGCCAGTTCCGTCCACACAGTAGTCTATTAAAACAAATAGAAAAACAACAGAGCACACACACAAGCACACGCCCACATACACACACACACGCCCACACACACCGCCAAAAATTTGCGCAAAACAAAGCAAAATGTTTAGAAACAGAAAAAAATTGCGTACATAAAGTTTAGAGCTTTCCACACAGAGAAAGAGAGAGAGAGAGGGGGAGAGAGTGAGAGAAAAAGTAAGCAACAAAACTGGAAATTTAGATAACTGCATAGAAAAATTGAATTTTGAACAAAAAACTTAAAGCAGCAGCAGAAGCAACAACAACAAAAGCTGAAACACATAAAATGTTTGCTTTATGAAAATGCAAATAATGTTTGTACATGCATAATACATATGTATGTATGCGTATGTGCCTGCATGCGTGTGTGTGTGTGATTGTGTGTGATGGTCAGTTTGTGCGTGTGTATAGTCAACCAATAAAATTTTCAATATATTTTATCAGAATTTCTGTTGCTATTTTATGCATAATACATTTTGAGGCTAAGCCGCAATAAATGCTCTACTAACTAAAAGAGATAAATATTGAAGCAGGAAAAAGTCAGAGGCAGGAAGAGAGAAAGAGACGGAAATTGCTTGAAAAATGTGAAATCCTATTTAAATGACATCAATATTGATTAACAATTGCGAGAATAGAAGAAAAGCTCTTCTCAGAAAGGCTATTATTTATTTGTGCATGAAATAAAGTTCGAAAACTTTATTCTGCTTCTGATAACAATTGCATTTAAAATCTAGTTTTAATCTTCTAATTGAAAAGGAGCCTCAAGCTTTGTAAGTGAGTTTTTTGTTCAATTTTGTGGGAGGCGTGGGGAGGCGTTCAAAATTATTCTAATCTGTGTGTACCATACAACAGGCGACATATCAATAGCATTTGTTGCATACAGCTCTTGTCGTATGCTTAAAAACCAAGTTTAAACTCGACTTTGACAACAGACGTGCATGGCTTGTTAGCTCGTCGTCCTGATTAAGAGTATATAAACATAAATACATTATTGATATTAAATTAAATATGGTATTATATTATCGTGCTTGATTTTTATTTATATTATATTAAATTATCTTAAATCATTTGCAGATTAAAAACAAACAATTTAATATAGTTTATATAATATTTAATATTTATATTGTCTTTGGCCAAACATTATGTGGCCAAGGTTTCGGGCTCAAAAACAAATATCTTTATAGAAAATCAGTTTTACTAAATTCCGTCCCTGCACACAAAATGGGGGCAAAGGTTGTGTGACCGAAGTGTCATGCATCGTTCGATGTGTCTCAAACGTATAGCATTATCAATACGATATTCGGAATTCCACCCGCAACTGTGAAAAATTTGCGGATAATGGTTTTTATGAATGTTTTAATATTTGCATACAGGTTTTTCACATTTTGTATTTGTTCGGATCAGGAATGTACACATTTTATGGTGTCGGACACGTCCTTTTTGCCTGTATAAGGCATTATAACCTCTTAATTCATCGTTTACTAACTTCAAAAAGGATTAATTAGGCTTAGGCTGATCCAACTTTTCACAAAGTGTCGAAACTGGCATCACACGTCCAAAATATCAATTATTTTGACAAATCAAATTTGAATCAAATTAAGCCTGAAAGTTTTGCGCATAGCTTATATATTTAAATGGAAGAAGACGTTAGATTCTAGAACAAAATGTTCTTCAATTTAGAAACTCTAAGCCTAAGGAAATATTGTTGGGCATTGAAAATCATGCGCTTCACAGTACGGTAGATACCCACAACAATAATAAATATATATTTTAGACGCGTAATATTAATTGCATTAATAATAATAAAAAAAAATTATTACTCCTTAAGTTTTTAGCCCAGCTTTTGGAAATATTTGCAATTAAATTCTCGTGCCGCGCAGCAATATTTTTTTTCTTCTGCAATCTCACAGTGCGGATAGCCGCATTAAGGCACGATGGCTGCGCGCAAAGGTAGAGCATCATTTGGCAATCGGTTATGGGTCACGTGTGCGGGCAATGCATTTATAAATGCATTTGGCCAATGGATGCAAATGTAAATGGAAATCTGTGCACATTTTCCAATTAACGTAAATTTACGAAATGGCCTCGTGTTTGCCTTCAACCTCCAATTAAATGCCGGGACAAGCACGTAGCCGAGCCAAGTCCAAAATGTTGGCCAACTCCAAGTGCAACACTCCCGCTGACTTTGCATTGACTGTGGCAGCAGCTGCATTCTCACGTAGCATGCAAATTGTTGCAAATTATCGACGTTCATTCGGATGCTTACTTTAATGAGCAGCCGAAGGAAGCGTCTGGCGGCAACTCCATGTTACTCGCCACCTTGAGGCAACCCAAAGCTACCGCTCCCAATCCTCCTCCCACTCCAGGCTCTGGTTAATGTTAAATTTCGTCGTAGCCGCATTTTTCCACTGTTTGCATTTAATTTTAACTTTTCTCATCTGATTTATGTATTTCGCTCAACGCTGTCGCTGTCGCCAGTCGAACGATTTTGCATATTTATTTTGCATCTATTACTATGTGAGTTGTGGGTTGGGGGACTGTGGCATTTCGTAGGGTCTGCGGTTTGTAGGCTTCGCAGCGTCAGCAAGCGTTGACGCCCTGTTGTTGTTGTTGTTGTTGTTGTTGTTGTTATTGTTGTTACCATTGGCATTGCCATTGCCCTGCTAGGGAGATGCTGGCAAACGATATTTGTAATTCTAATGCCTTCAAAGTGTTTCTCTGATATGCGGTATTAGCATATATTTTGTAAGCGTGTGCGTTTGCAATCGGGATTTAAAAATGCAAAAAAAAGGTCAGAAAAGAACTACACACCGAAAGTTAAATACTCTTGTAGGAGACAGTTATCTAGCAAATGTTTTCACGTATAAACTAATTGCATACCGTTTCATACTTTGTGTATGATATAGTTTCGTGTTGAAAAGATTTGGCACATACGTCAAGATTAAAAAACAAAAAGGATCCTTCTTTGCAAGCTATATTATATAGTGGTACGATCTGGACAGTTCCGATATGTGTAATGTCTTTAATAGAAAGACGAACTTCGGCAATGTTGCCTGACTATAGCGTTAAAATTGAGAGGCTAGTCGGCTGCTGATGCTGATCAGAAATAAATTTACTTTAAGGGACCAAACTCGTGTCCTTCTATGCGTCACACATGTCGTAAGAAAATTATAATACCGTCTGCAAGTGTATCAAATAGGTTTAGAAATGTATAGAAAATCAAAATAAAAACAAACTGCGACCTCGGGCTGTGATTTTAATGGCCATTCCACGCCCACCAAATTGCAGCGACCCCAGCGCGCTGGGAATGCGAATGAGTTGTCAATTATGGGAGTATTTCAATTACAATACATTGACCTGAATGCGATAATGCGAGCATGTTGAGCTTAACTCCGCTGAACGTCTGCTGAGCGTCTTGTGACTCAATTATTACATTAAATAATATTATAATGCGCGCTTATCGCATTGGGCTAATTGTTTTTGCCTGGCTAATTGAATGCAATTTACGGGCCAAAGTGGGCGCCCAGCGGTGGGCGTGTGCTCAAAAGTCGCCTCGCTTTGTTATGGGCACAGCAGCCACAATAATTTATC